TTAGCAGTTCTTCCAGCTGTTCAGTACGTACGAAGTTAGAAAATTTCTATATTCGGGACTTTGAGGAACACTGAAAAAATGTTTAAAAAAGTGAGAATTTTTAGCCTTTTAATTTATTTTCTCGCAAACTTTTCTGTCCAAATTCTCTTCAATGTGTTTTCTACTATGCTTGCGGCTACAAGATAGCGAGCTACTCATTCTTAGTAACAAACCTTGAAGGAAGTTATAAATTGTCAAAAAAAAATCTAGCAGAAGAACCTTTTTTGCTTTCAGAACATATTTTTCTGCCCGTTCGTAATGTGAGTATATGTAAATGTGCGCTGTACTGCAGAGGTTTGCTGCTTCTGATGATCGTTACCGCATTTGAAAATGTGATCATTAAAAAAGTTATAGCACGTCAAAGTGAGAATTCGCAAACGTCCATAATATTTCAACCTACAAACCTCGGTTGTTGTATAGTTGTTTTATAAATATTGTTTTGTCTATTTTTCATGAATACAAGCACTACTGCATTCTTTTTGGTATTAAAGGCAGCGTACACCCAAAATTTGAGTTACCGAATTTCCAAGATCTTTCTACACCGTGTATATACTGGGCCCAGAAGAAGACCAACTGCGTTGGTCCGGTCTTCCAATGTTGCTTCTGAGCGGAGAAAACCCCCCTCAATTTTCTTTCATGCCGCCCCTTTTCTTTCGCTCCGCCTCCTCCAGACGAATCCATAACAGCGTAAGCTGCAATTGCAGCTGCAGTTGCTGTTGCAACATCTGTTGCATTTGTTTTGGGTGTACGCTGCCTTTAAGAATGATGTTCCATTTTTCGAATTTCAAAAATAAAACTGAAGCCAGGCGATTTATAGAATCGGAGACGTTCTATGCAAATTTCCACGATTTAAAATTTTAAACTCCATTATCATGGACGAGTTTCAAAGTATGGCAAATAATGTCTCAAACAGATGATTTTTTCAAATCGGATAAGTATTAGGTTGTCCGGAAATTAATGCCCGTTTTGAATTTCAACCGCAATAAGTCATACACTCTTCATTTCTAGATATACTGCAAAGTACCATTCGATAGAGCAAAGCAAGCTCTACAAGATGGCCATTTTGCTTTTGCAATAGCTCTCATCCATCTCGAGTTTCGAGCCAAAAACTAAAAAGACTCAGCAGCCCGAAAAATTGAAAAAAATCGTAACTCAGTTCATAAAAAACCTACAAAAATTCTAACTTGTTCACGCAAACGCTATCCACATAAGACATCAATATACGCCGTTGCCGTATTTTTTTCTCTGTTAGAAACCAAGAAAACGGAAATTTTCATGCATTTGCCGAAGTGATGCTGTGCCGTCCCCACATATATAATTGTATACCACAAGCCTGTAGAAGTACAGACTTAAATTTTCAGCTCTCTACAAGCTTTAGTTCTTGAGAAATTTGAATTTTAGCTTGGACCACCTAACTAGGGAAAGCTATATTCGGTATTTCTCGAGAACTAAGGCTTGTAGAGAGCTGGAAATTTAAGTCTATACTTCTACAGACTCGTGGTATACAACTACCTATGTGGGGACGGCACAGCATCACTTTGGCAAATGCATGAAAATTTCCGTTTTCTTGGTTTCTAACAGAGAAAAAAATACGGCAACGGCGTATATTGATGTCTTATGTGGATAGTGTTTGTGTGAACAAGTTAGAATTTTTGTAGGTTTTTTATGAACTGAGTTACGATTTTTTTCGATTTTTCGGACTGCTGAGTCTTTGTAGTTTTCGGCTCAAAACTCGAGATGGATGAGAGCTATTGCAAAAGCAAGATGGCCATCTTGTAGAGCTTGCTTTGCTCTATCGAATGGTACTTTGCAACCTATTTAGTAATGAGAAGTGTATGACTTAGTGCGGTTGAAATTTAAAACGGGCGTTAATTTCCGGACAACCTAATACTATGAAAATTTTGAAAATTTAAAAATTTCAAAATTTCAAAATTTTAAAATTGCAAATTCCGCAGTTCCTAATTTTTCCCAAGTGAAGATATCACTTCCACTTTCACATCCTACCAACAGATTGATGTGATTATGATAATAAATCAATACGGTGAGGTCACTGCAGCCAAGGCCTAAGCCAGCCTGGCTAATTATGACAATACGAGGGACCAACCAAAATCTATAGCACAGAGTGAAAAATTTTTTTGATTTTTTCAACTTTAGTTATATGATTGGATAGCTCAAACTTCGCTGGTTCCGAATATCCGTATAGAAATTTGATATGCAGAAGGAAAAGAAAGTTACAGCAATCCGGCTTTTTCGGCGCTCTATGGCGTTTATATCGCAGCCATTATCCGTTGATAACGTAAAAAAATACCAAAGCAAATGAAATTATCAAGTTTGGATTGACTCATGAGAAGACAAAAAGATGCCGGTTTCAAATATCAAATCAAAATTCTAGCTGAAGAACTTTGAATCGAGTTACAGTAATGCGGCACATCCAGCGCGACAAAGCGTTTAGTTCGCCTCTGGCATGGAGCCAAAAAAATTTAAAATCAAGATTTCAAGATTTTTAAAAAGTTATTTAGGTAGCTTAGGAAACGCTGATTCCAAATATTTAAACTAGAATTCAATAGATTGAAGTTGAAAAGAGTTATGCCGATGCAGCGATACCAACGCGACGATGCGTTTATAACGCCGAAGGCCCAGAAAAAAATCTTTACACACAGGATTTTGAAATTTTTAAAAGCACTTTTAGGTAGATCAGAAGGCGCTGATTCCAAATATTCAAACAAGAATGCGATTGGTTGAAGTACAAGCGAACTATCGCGATGCGGCACTTCCGGTGCGACAATGCGTTTGAATCGTAGGATTTCAAGGCGACAGTGTTGGTACTGTAATTACGTACAAGTTGGAGTAAGAGATGTGAAACACGAGACCCGGTTTTGCATAACAATACATGGCATAACAATACATGATAATCACAAGATAAAAACGATGGTTGGATTCAGAGAAGGGAGTATCGAAACTGCCAAATTCATGCGTGATCGCCTAGGTTATACGTACTGCAGGTAAAGAACTGAAGAAAGGATGGAATACCGAAGCGTCGCTTCTGTCAAATTTTTTAAGGATTTATAGCATCTTGTCAGCAGTGCAGTGATCTCACGTATATCAGCACTTTTAATGGAAACAAGGAGAGGAGGACTGACATTTTATACCCTTTGCTTGACTTTTCGATATGCCATTGTCAGAGTTCACTGTTCCGTTCTCAACTTTTTACAGCAATGCTTGTGCTTCCTCATCTCTGCAGACCAGCTTCTTTGCCTCTGTTTTCGTCAGCATGCTCACTTATCTTCCTGTATCGATGTTGAGCTTTATGTATAGCGAAGGCTCTATATTATGCTCCCTAGCTTTGCAGCCAGTACCAACTTTGCGTCGTTTGTGTCCTTGCAGCCGAGACGCAATAGATTTAGTTCAAGTTTCTTTCGAACACACGTGCTCCAGCACTACCTCGTTTGGTCTGTACCATTTTCTACATCCAAAATGCATCCATCTACCGTGGGTGTCATGATCATTCTAAACATCTTTCTATTAATTTTCATCTAATATGACTATTGGTTACTTTACCTTGCTCATGTGAACATAAAAATCGATTCTTTTATCGACAAAAGTTTGATACTGTGAACTCAAAATCAAATCAGTCAAGGTTTCACTCACACTTACTCGTTTCAAAAGAAAGGCACTGTTGGCTATGAAGATTTGCTGGCTTTTTTAATTGACAATTATATTAGATAATTTTATTGTAGACTTGATTCCTTAAAAAGCGAGATATTCCCGATAGTACGCTAAGAAGGGGTTCTTGTTGACCAAAGAGATTACACAAATTAGAGGCCGTCAAATCAGCCGGCCAACTTGTGGTAAGGGTATCACGAGAGAACTGAATGCTCTGAAAATCCTGTAAAGCTCAAAAGATTTTCAGCACGCATTTTGTGACGATTTGCTGCTATCAAATAAATCGATTGGGCTCTGTGTCAATTTAGCTAATTTCTTACGAACCCGAAACTTCAAAAAGGTACCACTCAAATTACCATTTTGTTCAATCTGCTTAGAAATTCGTACGAAACTGTGGGGTACTGTGCGGAATGTTTGTGGAGGAAAATGGTAATACTTCAAGAAAAAACTCGGAAACGCTGTTGGATACGTTGTCTTAGATGTTCTCTTTTTGACTTCAATCATCAATTATGAATCTCCATCGTGAAACGCAGGAAACTTTGTAAGGTCTTACATGAATTACGGAGAAACCTTCATTTATGTGAGATGTGTGTAGAGGCTTGATATCATGACAATTCTCACGGCTGATACCATAGTGAACTATATATTCTGAGTGGCAGCGTCCGGACAAAATCCCAACCTAAGGAAATTCGTCTTGCTGACCCCAAAATTGCATCTTTGAGTAATCAACTTGCGAAAAGACTTTTCGAGAGTCCTACAGTTGTTTCCAGACAATGTAGCAGTTCCAGTTGAGACTTAGAAGCAGAGCTTCTATGATCTTAGGTTTAAGACCAGTGAAGGGACACAATGATTGTAACTGTGTGCTTGCCATCTCAGCATGCAGTTAAAAATCGCAAGGTGGTTAGGTCGGGTAGATGTGAAGGTGATAAAAAAAATTGCGGGCGATAAGCTCCCATTATGAAAAAAGACAAAACTGGCTTGAATCGCATCCTATGCTCCTACTGCTAAGGAAAAAGAGTATTTCAAAGTCCGCCTGCACAAACTCTGCCTTTCTTCCAGGTGCACCCTTCCCGGATACTGCCTTATAAGAATGTTCAACTCGCCTAAATTAGACTCCAGCAGAGTAACATTCAGCTCTTTTATGAGTGAAGAAAAAATTTTTGTTGCCTTTCATCTATTGAGAGGTAACTTGGCCGCGCATAGCAGATTAGAACCGTGCGCAAGAAAATGACGTCACACTTGAGATCAAGGTTTATGATGTTTGAGTGCATAAAAAAACATACATTGACTTTCAATATTCAGTTAAAGCACTGATTCGTTTTATAGTACTGCTTGATATCGTTCAGCATCAATCTCTTTTTCTTGTGAATGTCTTCACACAGCTCACACAATGCTTCGGTTTTGTGAATTTCCGGCTTCCGAAAATGTCTTGTCCATTCGAAGTACCTCAAATTACATTAGGAACATTAGAAAATCATATCTTTTGCGGTATTTCAATTTCTGTAAGCATTCAAGCGCTATTTGGCTGGTGCATTAGGCATGAATGCAAGGCGCAGCTTTGAGCAAAATAATTCCACTTTTTACTTCCACGAATACCAACACTTCTTCGTCTATTCCTTCCACTCTTTCAATTCCGCCCTCTGGGCACCAAGTACTTGCTTTCATTAGAGTGGACCAAACAATTTGACAACATGTTCTTTTGACCATGTGCGGAACTGGAAGCTATGTGGTCATACGGTGAAACGGGTTCAGCTCTTTGATTACTGAAGATCGTTGAGAATCTTTGCTAATAATGCCAAAATATTTGCTTGCGTTAAAGCGCACCTACCTAGTTCTATTTGTTAATGTTAATCATAGTATCTGATATAATACATATGGGACAGTACATGATTGACTATACAGAAGCTCATTTGCCTAGTGTCTTAAGGTCTCTACCACGATGCTATCACTTTGAACATTTCTTAATGACTGTGCTTCAATGTATTGCCACAATCTTTCCCAAAGTTCAGCTCAACAGTAGCATGGGTTGGCTTGTAGTTATAAATCGGATAAACATTTGTAAACGTCCACTACAGATTGACTTTTGACTTTGACGGACTTTTGGAAAAAATCGATGTAAATTGCTAGCTTGAAGAGGCGACATAATATCTGCATTCTTATAAAACACTAGCTGGCTTACCCGGCTCCGCCGTATCCGGACCAAACTTGGCACACGTACACTTCGGGCCCCGGCGGGTGTCACAGTCCACTTTTCGTTATCGATCGATGTCGATTTTACCGATTTTTATCGATTTTTTTGCAGAGTTCACCTACAGGGCTAGGAGTTGGCACAGGGGGGGGGGGGGGAAGTGAGCATGGGGATTCCGAATACAATATTAGTTTTCAGAATTATCGATTACTTTTATTGATTTTATCGATTTTTTGTAAATTTTGACATGCGAGGCTGGGATTTTGCACAGTGGGGTAATCGAGCATGCTGATTACGAACACAATATTAGTTTTCAGGATCGTCCATTACTTTTATCGATTTTATCGATTTTTTTGTAAAGTTTGACCTGCGGGGCTGGGGGTTTGCACAGGGGGTAATCGAGCATGCAGATTACGAATACAATATTAGTTTTCAAGATCGTCCATTACTTTTATCGATTTTATCGATTTTTTGAAAATTTGAGCTAGGGGGCTGAAATTTGGCACAGGGGTATAATCGAGCATGCTGATCACCCCCTTGGGGATGATCAGCATGCTCGATTACCCCCCTGTGCCAACTCCCAGCCCCGCAGGTCAAACTTTACAAAAAATCGATAAAATCAATAAAAGTAATCGATAATTCTGAAAACTAATATTGTATTCGGAATCCCCATGCTCGATTACCCCCCTGTGCCAACTCCCAGCCCCGTAGGTGAACTCAGCAAAAAAATCGATAAAAATCGATAAAATCGATATCGATCGATGACGAAAAGTAGCCTATGACACCCGCCGGGGCCCGAAGTGTATGTGTGCCAAGTTTGGTCCGGATCGGTTCAGAAATGGAATTTTCTATTCGGAACATACGTACACACATACATACATACATACATACATACATACAGACAAACAGACATTCAGCTTTATATATAAGATAGCTGTGCAGCCCTAAAGCATCGTTTTTTTCCTCGCATCAAATGCTCTGTTTCACCTGCATCTAGGGTCTTAAAACGTGTTCTAAGAGTTCTAAACGACCAAATTGTTTATTACTATTCAATCATATGCACCTTGAGCGCGACAACATAGTGCTTTTTCTAGCGATCAATCAAAGAGAACTGTCCCGAAAAAAGCTTGAAATCTTTTACTGTTTCAAATTTTGATCAATATTCAGCCTCGCCTATGTGTTTAGTTACAGATACTGTATGCCTCTTTTATTCTTTCAAAGAATCAACTTGTGGAGCTTACCAACCGAAGGTACGCAGTGTCGTTTGTACGCAAAAAATTCAGGTAACTTCCTAGTTCTTCCAGCGACTGGAAATCGTCTGCTGCTATGAACGAATGCTGTGGAATACCAGCGGCTATAAACGCTTTATTAAGGCCTGTAAATCTCTCGCTTGATACTTCTCACCTTCATAAATTCGTCTTTTCCGCACAACAGGAACAAGTAGCTGCGATATTCGCAAGAAGTATTTTTCCGTAATATAATCGTTGCAATCAGCGTTTTCAAACGAAATGTAGAATCGATGTGTTGCTGAAAATATGGGCAGAATTTGTAGCAGTAAAAAGCTGAAGAAAACCTAAAATTTGATGGAGTTTGTAACAAATCTAACTGGAGCTTGCTCTTAGCTCTAACAGCAATTTAGCACTCAGGAATAATATTTGCCAGTTGAAGTCACAATAGAGGCTATGAGACAAATTATCAGATTATTGATATGTTAGTAGCAGGCTTTTAATCTTGCGCGGAGAGGCTAAGACGAAAAGCTGGTGAAAAGTGCTATCTTATGAAGTAACTTTATTACTTTTTCAGCAAGAATAGTCTTTGACACCAAAAAAAGAACGCCACAGTGTTCCAGGTAGGACTAGGTGTCGAACACTGGTTTCAAGCTTGAAGGAAATTTGTAAAGAAAAATCTAAGAAAATGCGACAACAAAAAAATCCTTGCTAAATCACACTTTTACAAGAAAAAAGTTATATGTTTGCATGAGTGACTGAAACGTGCTGTAGTAACGTACTAAATAGTGCCTAAAGAATTTTGTAAGTTTTTTGGGCTGACTGGCACTCTAGTGTTTTTTTAGAACAAAATCGGAACCACGAAAATAGCAGTACCGTTTTGGAAATTCGGTTCTTTAGTGATTGCTCACAGTACGTATGGACTGTGTCACAAAATCACAAATGTGGGTTCAGGATCTCAAAAGTGGATCTTTCTCGATTACGCTGAACTTCAGCCCTAATTCAATCAATGCCATACCTATGACCCATTGGCCCGTAGTAAACTACCGTCAGGGTATCTCCCTAGCCGGACCGGAGTTGATATCTTGGCGCCTCAGTCCAGCATCCGGCGAGCTATTGATCTGGATGCAGATCGCTTCCTGGACATTGTGATCAAGTGCCTTCTCGAGAAAACAGCTACTTGATTCGATTTGGTTAAATGGGTAAGCCATTGGAATTACACGCGCGCGGCCGTGGTTCGACTCCGCCTAGCGACACAACTTTTGCTGCATCGCCGGGCAATCTTTGATAGCGGCCACTATCCAATCGATGATGATCGCTATCAAGGATTTCGCCTAGCAAACGCAAAGATAAAACGAAAAAACATTTCGTTACGAAAATTTTGCGTCAAAACGAAATGGTTGCAACGTGAATACAATGAAATGAACAAATGAGTCCTCGTTTTGAACAGCTTCAAAAAAACCCAGTAAAGTTTACGAAAAAGAGAAGAATTTGTTTTTTTCTGTCTTCCTCGCCAAAATCAGCTGTTCATCGATCCTCTCCTTTTCGGGCGCGGTTGTGCAATTTTGCGCCGATTTTGTCCGCAGTGTTAGGCGAATTGCTGTGTATCGTAAGTTACTCAGGAGCAACTTACGAAGATTTTCTCTGCGTTTCCTCTTTAGCACACTATTTCTGGACATCATCGGTCATATCATCTCCCATGACCCGGCAGGGAGATCATCTCCCTGCCGAACTTCACCTGAGGCTCACCTCTCAGGTGACGTTGCATCCCTATAGCATGGGGAAATGGGCGGTCGTCATTTTACTGACAGAACCTCATATGAAGGTCTCAGGGGAGGTAATCTCCCATGACCGAGCTTTACTACGGGCCATTATGTTATTGTTAGTGTACATGAAACTATATTTTGAAATTTTGTAAGATAACGTTCGAGGAGATAATCACCGCATCAAGCTTGCATATTTCGGTTCTTCGGGAATCAGCATGTTTAGAAAAGACTGCAAATAGCACGGTTATCACAGCAATTTCAGAAATTCTGATTTTGTTTGCTTCGGATACAAATTATTGAAATCCAGGATTTTACACTGCAAATAAAAATGCTCATGATCTTCGGCGAGCATGTGCTAACTTTTAAACACACGTAACCACCTTGATGTTGCCTATACCGAAAAGCTCTCGTAGCAGATAAGAGTAGCATTTTAGCAAAAGGCCTGTGAGAAAAAACTCGCAAGGAAGATGCCTTCTTTAAAGTGGCCTTTCTCAAGAATCCCATACCGCTTTGAAGAGCATTGAACGCTGATTCAATTCTGATTTCATTATCTGCTGAGCGCTTCTGGTGGAGAGTTATGAGAGTTTTTTGGAGCATAAACTGAACTCAGAATCTAGTTACAACTGTTATCGTCTTTTCAATGCTCAAGTATAGCAGTGTTGAGTATGACTGTATTGGAAAAAAGTTACCTACGAATAAAGTGCTCGACAACTAGTACTGAATTATTTGAGCAAAAGAGACGAAGAATAGAATAAGAATAGACGAATTTTGTTCAGTTACGCATTCAATTTTTCAACTCCAGAGACGCTTAACTCGGCGTCAGCGTCTAGCAGAAGTGAAGACAGATTTGGACCGTCTTTCTTTCTCTTCAAAGTGGTCTAGGGTCACATGAAAAGTCCACTTCCACTAAACGTCCTTCCCTGTCAGTCAAAAAAAGCGTATAATCCTAACATCTACACATCAAAGAGGAACATACGAACTGTTGACAGTAAATGCAGATTCTATGTGTGCTAAGATTAACAATTTTAGTACCGTGAGTAGAAAGGGGATGACAAAATAGAGTCTCCGAAGAATGTTGCGTCCTACTAAGATGTTCGAAAGATTCGTCCATAGTTTCAAATGTTTCACTTTTTTGAAAAAATTTCTTCTGAAAACTGAGTCAAGGACATGCTCTTCCACTCGATGGAACTTCTTTTTTCTCCAAGTGTCTAGTGTATAGACCCAGATAGAAATTTGTATGTCTATCTCAATCTAGCATACTCAATTTGCACAGTGTGTCATGAATGATACTCTTAGTCTCCCATTTCTTGCTTCAGATTGAACCATAAAAATGCTAATTTAGCGGCTGCATAAGCTTATTTTTGGGGCCATCCTTAAATTTTTCATAGTGCTGGATTTCTTGAGTGCTAGCTTGGTAAACCTTAAGTTTTACCAGCCGTAGCTCTTGAAAGACTTTTCTACCCAATTCTGTGGAAGCGTGTCAAAGAGAATGCATTGGTCTTGATTGATGCATGCAAGCATCATGCTTTTTTGCTTTTTCTCGCATGTCCAAAGGAATAAATGGAGAAAATTTCTAGACTATAGCAAGGACAGATCTTTCAGAAAATAAAAAATTTGCTGCACTCAAAGGTGGGTGAAATATCAAAATTTTGTATTCTTATTGGTAAATGTCCATTATCTATTTCGCAGTGAAAAGCATCTTAAAAAAGGTAAAAAGACTTGTTGTATGACAACGTTATTTTGCTTCTCGTTCGTGATAATTAGCCCCATGAGTTGTTGATGATTTTGAGATTCTTTACAATAAAAGGGTTGGCTAACCTAAACGTGGGCGCACTTTATTAGCTTCCAAATAACGAATGCAGTGGTTGCAGCGCTTCTGTGAACTAATTATACAAACCACAATGCATTTTAAGTACCATTTCAGGCTGCATTCATAAAAACAAACCTATTAGGTCATCAATGCTGCAATCTGATTTGCACGATTTGCTCATCGTTCTTTTGTTGACTGAGAGTTTCGCTTCGCACCTTCCTCTGACGGTGATTTCGGTAAAATTTCCTAACTGCCTAGAAAAAATCAAAACGCACTGCTGCGTTGACGAACATTGTCTTAGCTACCTGATCACATGTTCTCGCTTCGATGGCGTCTTGCAGTTTGAGACAATAATCAGAGCTCCTTTTTTCTTCCGTTTGACAGCTTTGAAGAGCTCAAAAAAGTGGCTTTGCAGCAAGACTTTCTTCAACTACGAGTATACTTGTGACGGCCCAGAAATAAGCGAAAAACCTTCTTAGCAAAAGGCGCGAGGGTAAATGTCTCCAAAAAGGTGCTTGTTCTCTGTACTATGTGCAGACTTGTTATATACATACCTACAGAGATGACTAGTCCTTTACAACGCTACAACCCAAGCTAACCAGTTTCAAAAAATGTGCTGCTGACATGTTAGGTAGCTACATATAGTGAAACGCAGGCTACTCAAACAAATCACCGGATATCTAAATTTGCAGAAGTTCCGCAGATTTTGTTCACTATTGCAAAAATGAATCGCTGAAAGTCGGAACTTCGCGGGATTTTCATGCCAAACTTGTTTAAAACTGGAACTTTTGCAAAACCTTTTTCAAAATCCTGCGGAAACTCCGAAAAATGCCAGAGGTTCCGCAGCACTTTGGCCTACCAGAACATCCGCAGGACTTTGAACGTGTTGTCTCGTGATGTTGCCTCGCCAACAACTAGAGTGCATTATCGAACATGTCAGCTGTAGCGTAGACGATAGTAGCTGGGTCTCACAGTCAATAGAGTGGGGTTCAAATCTCGCTTCGGTGTTCTCTTTTGCTGTTGTGGTTGGCATTCTTCGGAACTTCCGCAGCACGTTTACGGAACCTCCGTGGATGACTCGGCGGAACTTCCGCAAGCGCTCTGCGGAAGTTTCGGTCATTTGTCTGAATAAGCATTTGTTGCACAAAGGACATAAAGAACTAGAAAGTTGCTCCTGAGCATTCTTACTTAATTATTGAGAATCAACTGCAAACACTCTATTGCACGTAACGCACGTTTTCATCTTTACGTTAAACTTAGTTTTTTACTTCAAATGATGTTATTTTGAAGAAGTGGCTTACATTGCGGTTATCTTAACATTGGGTGTGTTCATGAAGGTGGTTGAACAAGATATATCACATACATGTGGGTTCCATTGCATTATTCATCAATAACGTAATCTACACTTTTTCAAAACAAAGCTTCCGTTAGTTATTCTGGACGAATTTTGGCTACACTGTCAACGAATATGCCAAGAAAGCTTTATTAACAGCCGAAAGATGTGAGATAGTAGTGGTACGCGAAGCCAGGTTTTCGAGCTGCTAAGAAAGATCCATCTAGCAATTTTGAAAAATCTGTGAAAACGCTCCGACACGCGATTTGCTTAAATGCGCTTCCAATAGTACCCGACTCTGATGAAATAAATGGCTCTAAAGCATGTTAGCACACAATCCAAGTGGATAGTGTACAAGCTCTTGTGAAATGAGTTAGCTTGTTTGTTGTGCAAAGTTAAAGTTTTCCGCAAGCACATTCAATTAAAATTCACCTCATCCTCGGTAATTACTGTACCATTTGCATCATTTGATGCTCGTGCCACGAAGCGACCATAAGGATAGAAATAACGTGAATCTCGTCTATACGTTATAGTAGCATTGAAGTAGTTCCGTGGTACCTGATATAAAGTTTCATAAATTTTTGAATGTAGTAAGATTGTTAACTGTTTTTGTCTTTATACTAGGTTGATTCATTATTGATGCACTCTTTCTATAATTAAAGCAAAATTCCCGAGAGGAAATTTTTACAACAAAGACTACTTTAGACTACCGTAAACAGCATTTTGGCTATACAACACGCACTTTATGTGACTGTAGCATCACAAGAAATTTTTTAGCTCAAAAGCTACCAAGAATTTTTCTGCAGCTTTTACTTTCAAAGCATAACTTGCTCTAAAATGTAGTATAGAGCTCACGCTCATCGTGTAGCTAGAGATGGGTCAAGCAATGGTGCCAAGCTTTTTTCGAGAATTTTTTGAGAGAAAGCATCACGAAAAAGTCGAAAACACTCACTTTTCTGGCATCCCGATGGGCTCAACGCCTTTTTTGAAAAATATTCAATCCATATTTACAGAAAATGAGAAACCCCACCGTTTTCCTAACACTAAGTAAGCTAGGTCTACTCCTGCTGTACGGTACAAGTTCTGTAATTGCCTTTCGCAGTAACAGCAATGAACAATATGATGGCCACCCCTGACAATAAGATGAAGAGTAAGCAAAATGCAGCGGCACAAATATTGGTTTTAGCATTGAATCCCGAGTGGGGAGGAGCTAAATTCGGTGAATCTCGAAAATTAGGACCTGGAAAAAGCTGAAAATTTACTTATACTTCTAAGGGCTTGTAGTATACAATTACATGAACGAAACAACATAGTTTCGTTTTTGTATAAGCATAAAAGTTTCCATTTTCTCAATTTCCAAATGAGAAAAAATACAGGAATGGTACATGTGAGTGTCTGATGTAGTGTGCAAATTAAGTAGACAAGGAGATCTTTAGGATTTTTTAGCTTTCAGTACGACTCACATTTTTGATGCAAATTAGCGGTGGGTCGAAGTTGGTGCAAACCTTTGTATACCACCTTGTAGAACTTGCTTTGCTCTATCGAAGGTGCCTTGGATCCCTATTGAAATTGAAAGTGTACTACTGTTGCCATAAGAAGTTCAGTTAATACTGTTCCAATTTGAAAAATTCAAAAATTTGAAGGAGACGGTGTCAATAATTTGCAAAAAACACTTGGAGACGCAAAGCCCTCAGCCAAAATCTACGTTGTTTTTTAGCGTCATGCAACAAGTGTATTAAAAATTAAGTGTGCATCTTTCTTCTTGTAATAGCTAAAGGAAGGATCTCTGTCTCTGATACTCTGGGTAAGCTTAAACTTTGGGGAATTCGAAAATTTTCTTCGCATATTTGAATATCGAGTGATGTTCAAGTGAAAATTTCGAATATTCGACTATCGAACATTATTCGAAAATCAAAATTATCGAATACTCGACTTTCGAATATTATTCCAATACCGAATACCATTCGACTTTCAAATGTTATTTGATTTTCGCATATCATTTGGATAAATTGAATGTAAATCTATGCTTATAAAAATCGGTGACATAAAAATCTAAAAGCCTACCCTTACGATGGTGGTGTTGAAAATGGAGGTTTAAGAAATATCATTATTTTGAATCGTGGCTCTAAAAAAAACTACGACCCTAGTTTCTGGCAAAGTCAAGATTCATTATTTTTTTAAATATTTTTAGCAATCCCTCAAAAAAAAAATCAGAGTGACAGACGGTTAGAGCAAACCCTAGAGGATACAGAAAGTTTATTTTTCTTTTACTATCTCGTCATAGATTTTGATAAAAAATTTGTTGATAACTACCTCACAAGCATAGGGAGGTTAGTCGAAGTCGCATTTCAATATAAGACAAACAATACGAAGGGTATAAAACGCTGATCCCATATCTAACCTCTTTATTTGCTGCAGTTTTCTGATCGTGGAGTTATGTGGGCTTTTATGAGCAAAGTTCTGGATGTGTAGCTAGGGTAAAATCAGTCGTACCATTCCTCCCAGGAATTAGATAAGTCAAAATATCCACCTAAGCGCTGCCTTACTTCAACGTTAGTAAAAGTCAACAGTAGATTTAACACTGACATGCATTGGAAATTTTGTTGAAAACCCTTCAAAACTCCTTGCTCGGAAACTCACAGCAGGTAAGAACTTTATATTGCAATCAGTATTTCACACCCTTTGAAGCAGTATACACCTCATATCACAAGACCACTTCAATTAGCCTTCCTTTCCTTGTCAGATGCAAACGCATCAAATACCAACAAATTTCGGAATTTGAAATTCACTCAAATTTCAAACTTAAAATTTCCGGGTAAAGCATAATGCGCATTTGAAAACATGAATTACAATGATTTTTGTCCGCGAAGACTTCACGAATGAGAACAAAAAAAAACCAAGTGAAAAAGGAGAAAATGCTGCGTTGATTGACATCGAGCTACTCGCCGGTTGTTATATAAGATTCGCTAACCAGATGTCAATTTGATGGCATCAAATAGAATTCAATCAGAAAAGTAGTCGAGCTACGGAAAGAAGAAAAAAGTTTGTATTCTGTAAGGTTTGCTTCATTAATTTGCCACATGGACTTTTTCGTAAAGTCGGTGTTTTAGCGAAATTCGCCCATGGAAAAACAAGGTTGCAAATCATTTGAAAGTAGATAAAAATTTGTATCGAAGCAAACAAGATGTAACTCTCAAAAACCATGTAGAGGCAGACGAATTTTTTGTTATATACTAATCTTGAGCATACATAAATGATTTCATAGAAACAGCAACGTCAAGCTTTCTACAGTCTGGTAACCATAAAATGACCACAGACTTCTATGGCAGCTGTATACATTTACCCTAATCACTGCGCTTGCATTTGTATATTAGCATGTAATACTTTAGCTTTCCCGCTTTCTCTGAACTAATTATTATTAGCATCTTAAAGGCAGCGTCCGGGCAAAATTCCAAATGAGATTTTTTCTGCTCACCTGGGCTAATTCTTCCTGCTGAATCCGAAAATGCAGCTTGAATAGCACGAAAATGAAGAAAACGGGGTTTTTCAAAAGCCCCAATTTTAAATTATGACGCACGCCGCCAAGATTAAGACACAGAATCGTTGTGTGGTACGCCATGATATGTGCGTATGCGTACTCTGGCTTATCGAACTAACTCGTCCCGGTCGTCGGGTCAGTTTCGGTCGTCACTTCTGAAGCACTTTTCCCGCTTCAGAAGCTAATTGTGCAGTGCCACTTTGGGGCGAGATTTATCAGGATAAGTGCTATTGTACTCTAGGTTTTCACAGTTGACCGGCACTGTCTCATAGTGTTTAAGTGACTGAATGAGCAAAATAAATCAAAGGGT